ATCTTGAATGTGGATTCTCACTTGGACATCCGTGGTTTCAAGTAGACTTGGTTTGATCGCGCCTGTTCATTCGAACGTCAAAGGCTAGCAATTACCGGTTGTTCGGAGAGAATATTCTCGATGCTCGGACAATGAAACCAGAGCATAAAACGGGCATATTGCCAAAAATATCGTAGGAGCTGGTAGGCTTTGCATCTGATCCGCAACTCATAAGGAAGACCCACCTAGTAACAATGAAACGACTGAACTCCCTAGAGTTGGTTTAGAAACTCTGTGGTGTATTGTTTCAACAGCTTTCACTTGGCTTTTCATCAAATGTGAATTGCACTAGAAAGAACCGAGTTTAGGCTAGATTTCATGGAAATTGATGCGAACGGTGCACAGTGGTTTGCAGCGAATGCGTCGCACAAGCAGCATCTAAAAATGTAGGTCTTTGGTTCAAAGCCCGTATGAATACTGGCTAGCAAATTAACCAAGGCTGTAGAAGAAAGCACGGCAAAAATGATATACCTGAGTTTGTCTAAACACAATTTAGTAGTAATATTGGTTTAAGTGATTAGATACCTCTCACAAACATTACGGCGCTTGTTCAAATGTGCTTGTATGGCCAAACTCGCGTAAACCAGAACGCGGAATCAAAGGACAAGGTCACCCTCACACACGCGTGACGTGCGTGCTACTGGTTCATTTGGATTATTTCCCTCTATCCTTTCTCCATCTTCTCGCAGCGTTGTCACTGTATTGAGTATTGTGAGTTTGTCATTTCAGTTCTAAATTTTGCGAGCGATTCAGCAGGTCATGTTGCGAATGCCTTTAGAAAGTAAACAAATCTACCGTTCCTATACTGCACCTCTCTTGAGTTTGCGGAGATTCTCAATTCCATCCCGACGCGTTGCGCATAGGCCCAACAAACGTGGATTTTAAAGAGTGATTCCTAGTGTAAACCGTCGCGTCAGCAAGTTCTATGCACATTATAGTGCTTTACCGCAAAGTTGCATAAAGATCCAAAATTTTGCAAAGAAGGAGCAAAAGTATGCAAAGGAACGTAAAAATATTGCAAATTCTGTGCGATTCGCCAGCGCACAGAGCCATCTTGATGTTAAGCGTGTTATCATTGGCGATGTTTGTCGGCTGTACTTGAGTGCACTGGGCGTTAATTCGTTCACCCGATGGAAGTTGGTCTGTCAAGTGCGGAACCACATCAGCAGGTTCGGAAACTGTACCTACCAGCAAGCCCATTTTATTGCGTGTCGGAAAGGCCGAATAGCTGTCCAGTACGACTTCGTTCTGTCTTGATTGCTCGGCGAGTCCCTCGTTATGACCAAATAGCGTGCGTAACCAAATAGGGGTGTAGTTGGCGTGGTACAGAGGCGTAGCAATACTTTTGCTGTCCGTGGCGGCTAACAATGCTGCCGCTCTCGTATTGTAAATCTCTCAATTGAAATTGCCATTCAATATTCGTTTCCAGTCACAGAATTTAATTTTAGAGTGCTGTCTTGAATGCAGCTATCTGAATTGTTGAATATCTCGTGTTAAAATGTACAGACATACTTTCGTGCATACCTTGCAAGACGCTGGCATCCGAGCTGAAATAAGCGTCATCGAACGCCATTGAACAGAAATGGTCGAAAATGCGGCAGACTTTGCTAGTAGCAGGTATGTCGTAATGTGGCAAATCAAATCGCCTACTGGACATTGGGTCATACGCATTTCAGGAACTTATAGATGCTTGCACAACGTGTTCGGCTGATAGCGAACACAGGAGATCGCAAGAGATTTCAGGGTGAACTGGTTGTAACCTGTAAAGCAGACGGGAAGCTGGTGGCCGAGTGGTCTGCATGCTGGCTTGCAATCACAAGGCACTGCTTCGAATTATTTTCTGGCTGCTTTGTCATCCTGGATATTCTCGGTGTCACCCCAGAGACAGGAACTTCCATCGAAAAAAAAACTATCCCGTGAGACTAAGTGTTCCGCTGCAGCGGTATCCCGATGGGACCGGCTGATCAAGTGTCTACGATAATGATCCATGCTGAAAATTTCCGTTGCCGTTGTGACACAATGTCATTGCCTGTCTGCCAAGTGCAAATACTGTTTTTTTTACCATTTTTTTAAAGCAGCGGATTATGTACGGAACACATATATCTCTCAACAG